GTAATTATTCTCGGATATTTAGATATAAATGTATTTAATTCAAATATTAGATATATAAAAAGTTTTATATGTATAAGTATATGTAATTTCGGGTAATCGGGTACCCGTTCGGGTATCGGGTTCGGATCGGGTTTTACCCTATACCCACGGGTACGGCAATACAAGACCCAATAGGGTAAATAGCTAATACCCGTACCCGCCCCAAACCGGTTTTTTCGGGTCGGTTTCGGTTCGGGTACTCGGGTACGGTTTTTTTGCCCAGGCCTAAAAATAACCGCTAATATTATAACGAACAGATGCGATAAAAAAACACAACTTAGAAAAAATAACCGTCAATATTTTAACGAAAAGTTGCGATAAAAAGATACAAACGAAAAAAGTTACCGTCAATATTTTAACGGAAAGTTGCGATAAAAAGACCTAACCGAAAAAATAACCATTAACGGAAAAAAGTAACCGTCAATATTTTAACGAAGTGTTGCGATAAAAATATACGACCAAGAAAAAATAACCATCAATATTTAACCGGAAAGTGCGATAAAAAAACACAACTGGAAAAAAAATAATCATTCCAAAAAACTTTGGTTAAATCAAAATGAGAAGATTTTTTTTAATATTAAAATAATGTATGTTTAGAAATAGTTTAGAGAATAAATAATTTGGAACGATTTTACAGATTTTTTTTTTTGGATTCATCATGAAACAAATAATCTATGTTAAAGAATAAAAATTTCGGAACTACTTAGGAAGAAGGACAAATATATAGAATTCAAAAGTCACTGTCATTTAAATATACAACTATTCATACAAAAAGTTGTGACAAAAGAATGCAATGAAATATAGTGAAGAGACGTAACTTTAAATGAATAGATGCAACTATAAAGACACAACCGTAAACTGAAAAGAAAAAAATATGACTATAAATTGAACAAATAGAACTGTCTAAAAAAATAACCGTCAATATTATAACGAAAGGATGCGATAAAAAAACACAACTTAGAAAAATAGCCGTCAATATTTTAACGAAAAGTTACGATAAAAAGATACAAACGAAAAAAGTTACCGTCAATATTTTAACGGAAAGTTGCGATAAAAAGACCCAACCGAAAAAATAACCGTCAACAGAAAAAAGTAACCGTCAATATTTTAACGAAGAGTTGCGATAAAAATATAGACCAAGAAAAAATAACCATCAATATTTAACCCGAAAATGCGATAAAAAAAACACAACCGGAAAATAATCTATGTTAAAGAACAAATATTTTACAGATTTTACAGATTTTTTTTTGGATTCATCATGAAACAAATAACCTATGTTAAAGAACAAAAATTTCGGAACTACTTAGAAAGAAGGAAAAATATATAGAGTTCAAAAGTCACGGTCATTTAAATATACAACTATTCATACAAAAAGTTGTGACAAAAAAATGCAATGAAATATAGTGAAGAGACGTAACTTTAAATGAATAGATGCAACTATAAAGACACAACCGTAAACTTGAAAAAAAAATATGACTATAAATTGAACAAATAGAACTGTCTAAGAAAATAACCGTCAATATTATAACGAAAAGATGCGATAAAAAAACACAACTTAGAAAAATAACCGTCAATATTTTAACGGAAAGTTGCGATAAAAAGATACAAACGAAAAAAGTTACCGTCAATATTTTAACGGAAAGTTGCGATAAAAAGATCCAACCGAAAAAATAACCGTCAACGGAAAAAACTAACAGTCAATATTTTAACGAAGTGTTGCGACAAAAATATACGACCAAGAAAAAATAACCATCAATATTTAACCGGAAAGTGCGATAAAAAAACATAACTGGGAAAAAAATAATCATTCCAAAAAACTTTGGTTAAATCAAAATGAGAAGAATTTTTTTAATATTAAAATGATGAATGTTTAGAAGTAGTTTAGAGAATAAATAATTTGTAGCCATTTTACAGATTTTTTTTTCGGATTCATCATGAAAAAAATAATCTATGTTAAAGAAAAAAAATAACCGTCAATATTTTAACGGAAAGTTGCGATAGAAAAACACAATCGAAAAATGTAACCATCAATATTTTAACGAAAAGTGACCATAAAAGACACAACCAAAAAAATAACAGTCAGCAAAAATCATAACCGTAATTATTTTAACGAAGAGATGCAATAAAAAGACACAACCGTAACCATCAATATTTTAACGGAAAGTTACGATAGAAAGAAACAACAAAAAAAAAATAACCGTCAATATTTTAACGGAAGCTTACGACAAAAAGATACAACCAAAAAAATAACCGTAAACAAAATAAGTAACCGTAATTATTTTAAAGAAGAGTTGCGATCTAAAAGACACAACCGAAAAAAATAACCGTCAATATTTTAACGGAAAATCGCGATAAAAAACACAAACACAAAAAGTAACCGTCAATATTTTAACGGAAAGTTGCAATAAAAGATACACAACCGAAAGAATAACAGTCAACAAAAAAGTAATCATCAATATTTTAACGAAAAGATGCGATAAAAAGACACAACCGAGAAAAATAACCGTCAATATTTTAAGGGAAAGTTGTGATAAAAAGACACAACCGAGAAAAAATAACGAGCAATATTTTAACGGAAAGTTGGGATAAAAAGATACAAACGAAAAAAGTAACCACCAATATTTTAACGAAAAGTTATGATAAAAAGACAAAACCGAAAACAATAACTGTCAATATTTTAACGGAAAGTTACGATAAAAAGACATAACCGAGAAAAATAACCGTCAATATTTTAACAGAAAGTTATGATAAAAAGATACAACCGAGAAAAATAACCGTCAACATTTTAACAGAAAGTTGTGATAAAAAGATACAAACGAAAAAAGTAACCGCCAATATTTTAACGGAAAGTTACTATAAAAAGACACAACCGAGAAAAATTACCGTCAATATTTAGCGGAAAGTTGCGATAAAAAGACACAACCGAGAAAAATAACTGTCAATATTGTAACGGAAAGTTACAATAAAAAGACACAACCGAGAAAAAACAACCATCAATGTTTTAACGGAAAGTTACGATAAAAAGACACAAACGAAAAAGTAACTGCCAATATTTTAACGGAAATGTACGATAAAAAAACACAACCCAAAAATAACCTTCACAAAAAAAAATAACCGTCAATATTTTAACGAAGAGTTGCGATAAAAACAACCGAAAAGATAACCGTCAATATTTTAATAGAAAGTTACGATTATAAGACACAACCGTTCAAAAGTGCAAAAGAAATTTATTGAGATTGCTATTATATATAGATTTATTTTTCTGTACATTGCGAAAGAGTCAACGTGAAGAAGCTTCTTGGACTGAAAACTCTTTGACGAAAAAAAAAGAAAGAAGCTTTTTGGAAACATCACCAATCTAGTCACTTGGTTCCTTCGTGTTCCTTCGTGATCTCGACCTTGCAGCCAGTGGGAAACATTAGCATATACCTTCGAAGAACTCTAGTTTTTGGGTCCAACGACCACCTGACAAAAAATACCACTTATATATTATGGAAACGTCAAAATAAATAATACTTCACGTTTGTTTATTTTTTTGGTTAAAGTATACTTAATACTTCACGTTTGTCTAAAGATCTATATGTATGTATATTAACCTGAATCTGGACAAATGATGGAGAAAGATTGCGATAATGAACTTCGCAAACTCAGACCCTACGCAAAGCGTTGAGCCAGCTCCAAAAGGCATGTAATCCTTGGATAAAATACCATGTAAATCTTGGCCCTGAAATTGTAAAAATTTATACATTATATCAGTTTTGATGTGTTGCGTGTGTGGCTATCATACTATTTAATTAAGGACTCCCAGCAATCACCTTCCATCTCCATGGATTAAACTTGAGTGGATCATCATACTTTTTTTCATCGAAATGAACTAGAGGAATGCCAAAGAATAGCCAACCAGCTGGCAGAGCCGGCCTTAGGGACAGGCTGATGAAGCATCAGCTTGTGGCCCTCTTAAATATAAGTAAATTTTCGGCCTCCAATTTTAACAAAGTATCCTTTAGTTCAGGTGGTTACGTTTAAGTTAATGGAGAAAGTTGGTGCAGGCTTCGAAGCCTCATTATTGCTCTTTATAAAACTTTCAGTTTTTTTTAGCTTATTAATTTTATAGGTCCAAAAAAAAATTGTTGTTTGTGACCCATAAATTTGTTGGGCCGGCTCTGCCAGCTGGCACTGTATAATCTGCCCAATGAAAACCCAAAACACTTGTTTATTGATTGAAAGAACAAAGAGAAGCTGAAGCCAAAAAAAATTGTTAATTTGACAAATAAAGCTCCAAAGATATACCAATATATACACCAAAGTTATCAATGAAAAGTAAATAAAGAAGTAGAAATCTTAAATAATATATTAAAGCAAGAAACAGAAAATCTCAAAACATAAAGTTTACAAGAAAAAGAATATTAGTGTATTTGTGTTTGTGCTTGTGCAAGTGCATGCTCACAATAATGATCATAAGCATTCAGAGATGGCTGAAAATGATCAAGCAACGTAAACAAATGAACAAACCTCCAATCTGAACGTCCTCAGTGGGTATTCTGTGCACTGTAGGCTGTGCACTAGTAAACCGAAGCGACTCTTTGATAACCTGAAAACACATTTTTAGTAGTCCCTTTTTATTTTTATTTTGGTGGTGATGCATGTACGTGTTAAGCAAGCAATATGTGTAAGCGAGCAAACTCACCATGTGAGTGAAAGTCATGGACTTGTATTCCTCCCATGTTATTCCTGCCTCCTTATCAACCCGGTTTTGAACCACCGCCTCGTGTTCTCTCTGAAATGATTAGATGGTAAACATGTATACGTACGTGAAATCAACAAAGAAAGTTTCATAAGCAAAACCACAAAAAACCTTTAGTTCTTCCATGACATCAGGATTGTCAGCCACGAGCTTCACCGTTGCTGCTACAATTGCGGGAGTCGTCTCCTGGGAGAGTATGAAAAAGGTGAATATCAGGTTGACAGCTCTGTCTATGTCCAGAACCGCCCCATCTTTCTCCATTTCATCGAATAGAATATCCAAGAAGTCTCCGAGTCCTTGTTTTGATTCTTTCTTCTTTTGAATCAAGCCCTTTAGAAGCTTTGCCGCCCTCTTCCGTGCCTATCAAGAATCATATATTAAATAAATCTATATACGAAATTCTGTATTTAAGGGAAAGGAAGATAAATTCTGTATCTACCATCACGAATCGATAAACAGTTGTCCCAGGGAAGTTGTATGAGAAGTTAAACCAATTAGGTCGAAAAGCAGTCCAACATAGTCCTAGTTCTTTTACGGCCTCAGATTCCATTCCTCCAATTACTTTCTTTACAATTAGATCAACCACCATCTTCAAGTTGTAAACGGTTAGGAATAGACATAGTTAGACGACATAAGATTTACGGGATAAACCGCTATATATATACCGTATATGGAACCATAACTAGTGATATCGTTGATGTTAAATTTTTGTTTTAGATTTGAATGTACAATAAAGTTTGTTTTGGATAGACCTGGGTTGCTGCTTCTTTTACGTCGAAAGAAGTGCTCATAGCTCCATTCTCAATCTCAAAGTAGTTGCGTGTCAAACAATCAATGTCTTGAATCAATCTGTTTTTCAAATTTTCTGGCCCGACAAATCTAGAAGTCAAGTTTCTGACATATTTATGAATATCTTTCCTCTGGAAGAAGTCGCTGTTCTCTCCAAAGAGCCGCCTTAAGCTCTCCGTCGCGCCCAACTGTGAATTGGCCTTTGCCATCTCCATATTCACTTCAGGATCGATCGAGATTATCACCTTGGCCCCAAATAGACTTGTACTGAACATTTTTGAACCATACCTGATTAAAATATTTTTAAGATATGAAAAATTTTAGAGAACTTTTCATATTAACTAAAGACAGAAAAAAAAAAGTTTGACAAAAATTTAAGAGCACTAAAATAGAAATTTGAAAATATCTAATAAAATTATATATGTCAAATGAAAATAAATTAAAATTTTCATAATATTTATAACTTCTAAATTACTAAGGCTCATATTGTAAGTCTTTAAAGTATTTGAATCATATTATTCTACTAACCATAGTATTAATTTTTTTTGAACTGATTACTCTATTAAATTTTTTGGAGAATTTATGAATTTTTTATCTGATGTATGCATTATTTATAACATAAATAATATTTTTGAGATATAATTACCGTGTATATATCAATCACTAATTAATACTCCGTCCCTTCTACTAATAGTCTAAGGGGCCGATTGGTAACGAGTGTTAATTCTCGTTGTAGAAACTTTAACTGTAAGAACTTTCGCTGTAGAAACTTTTGCTGTAAAGACTTTGATTGTATAAATTTTATAACCGATTGGTAAAAACTATGACTGTAGAAATTGTGATTTTAAATAACCACCAAATATGTAGAAAAATGGATCTTAAAAGAACAATGAATTTTTTTTTTACTATAAATCTACTGAAGCTTTTCAAAAATTAATTAATTTGTGAAAGTTATAAGAATTTACATACATACGAGAAGGAAAATGAAAAAAACTATAAACTTTTAATTTGTTTATTTCTAAAGTCTCATTTACGTGACTTAAAAAAAAAACTGAAACCAAAGAGTAAAAAATAAAAAAGAAACTTTGATGGCTTTAAAATTTATTAAAGCCAAAAAAGTTTGATTGGAAAAAAAATCTTTAAAATCTTTTTAAAGTCTTAAAAGTCTGATCCAATCACCCCCTAAGACACATATTAAAAACAAATTACGAACATATTAAATAATTATATCCAAGAAAACTCCCCAGTTTTATCTCAAACATAATTTTCTTAAAAACTTTCAAATCGAAAATATACAAGAACACTATTTATAGGACAAATATATAAAACAAGATAATTATATAAGTAACTATAAAGTGATTAGTTATGTAACTATTATAAATCTATTTATGTAACGAAGGATGTTATATATAGTAACCTGGATATTTTCTTCTTTAGAAACGGTGAAATCACTAAATGGAAATCATAAGGCGTCATGAATTCAAACGTCTCTCCGATGATCGGAAACCCCATTGTGCCCGGAGGAAGTTTGCCTTTGCATGTAGGGGTTTTCCAACGGTATATCCAGTGGCACAGTTTTACTACTCCTACTATGAGTGAAACTATAACAGGGAATGTCCAATAAAAATCTAACATTTTTTGTTTCGTCTATAAAGTTTGTGGCTTCGAGTTGTACGATTTCTATAGGCGTTGCTCTGTATTTATACTTGAATATGCGGTTCATTCCTGTAATATTAAGGAATAATCTTACAAGAAAAATAATAGTGATTCTCCGAAGCCTATTAATATTATAATAAGTTCATCATGTAATATATATATAAATAGGAAAGAAGCTTAAGCATCTGTGGTCTAGTGGTAGAGGAAACTTTGGGAAAGGATGAAAAACTCCCATACTTGAGTTCGATTCTCCTTGGAAACAAAAACACATTTGTTTGGGAAGTCTGTCAGTTGGGCCTTGGCCCAATTGGTTTATCTGGTAGCCAGATGCAGGCGGCCTGACTACCCCTGGCACTTAGTCGGAAGGCATTCCAAACTCGGGATAGACAGAGTGGTAGCCCGTAAGGGCCAAACCGTTAATACGGTGGACCAGTCCACTATGTAGCACCTCGGTGCGTTCCTACCGGAACCGACCGGATAACCGATAGGGTTTATAAAAAAATAAATAAATAAATAAATAGGAAAGAAAAATCTTACAAGAAAATCAGTAATGATTCTTCGAAGTCTTAATATTATAATAAGTTCACTTCTGTAATATGTGTATATGAATAATCTAAAGAAAAATATTACAAGAAAAGCAATAGTGATTCTTTGAACTTCGAAGCCTATTGATAATTTGATATTATAATGAAAAAGCAACAAATTGCCGAAGACTTTGCGCGTCTCCTTAATGTCCGTGACAACTGGTACTCCGTGATAGAAAAATCGTTAGGTGCTAATGGGATGTTAGGTGCAAATCGGAAGGTAAAGATGAGTTTACCGCCTAATAAGAAAATCAGAGATTATATAGAAATTAATAAAGAACTAGTTTTAAAGTTATTTCATGTTTTAAAAACATATGAATCAATTATAATTAAACAAATTAAATAATATTATTTTAAAATTGCATTAAACACATAAATTTTTTTTTAAATTTAAATTTATGATTTTTATATAAATTACGAACATAATTTGGATGTTCTGAATTTTAAATCCAGAAAAAGAAGTAAAATTTTTTTTTGGACTAGACGGTCTAGACGGACAAAAAATCGGATCATCGATTATTCTTACCGATTTGGACATCGCCGCAGCCCCTCTCCGATCAGCGCCTAGGTAGCCTCAGCTTAATGATGATCAATAAAACGTTCTCATGATTCTTTTTCGTCTCAAAATGCGGCACCAAATGGAAACTAAATGGTAAGACAGAATGCGTTGAATTTATTAATGATAGAGACGCATTACATCATAAGACTGGAAATCTAGACTATTTATCTAATGTGATGAATAAAAATCCATGTGTAATTGGATTACCTGATGGAGATCATGTGATGGCCACAAAATGGGTGATGTATGCTTAGAGGGTGATTTATGGTTGAATGGGGTTTATATTCTAAAGATTTAACATGCTTCTTGATTTCAGCTGCGAAATTGTTGAAAGTCGTTAAAGGATCTATTACATTTACTAATGAGTTATGTGTTATACATGACCGTACATGAAGATGCAGATTGACACAAGTGAAGAGTGTGAGGACGTATACGTGTTCCGTGGGAGGGGGGGGGGGGAGGGGATTGGTGCACAGATTCACAAGGCTGTGAATAGTTAGGATTTATGAGATTTATGGCATCGCCGTTTTGGTCATCTTTCAAGTGGTGTTTTTCTTATTTGTCAAGTTATTTAAATATTGAAAAACAGTTGAGTTCCACAATAGTTTGTTATATTTATTTAAGGCAAAACAAACTCGTGATTGCTTTCATGAAAATTCTAATAAAACTGCTGAAGTTTTTGATTTGATTCATTGTGATCTTTGGGGTACTTATGGCATATTATCTACTTCTCGTGCATCATATTTTCTGACAATAGTAGATGATTATTCACGAACTGTTTAGGATTACTTATTGAATACAATGAGTGAAGTGACTGTGACTCTTAAGAACTTTCTCAAGATGGTTGAACATCAATTTAACAAGACGGTGAAAATAGTACGAAGTGACAACAGTGTGAAATTCATGGGATTGAGATCATACTTTAGGGATGAAGGGATCATCTATTAGGCATCGTGTATCTATACTCCTCAACAAAATGGTCACGTTGAGAGGAAAAATAGACATATTTTTAATGTGGCTAGATCGTTGATGTTTCAAGCAATGTTACCACGTAAGTTTTTGGGTAAGTGTGTTCTAACAGCTTGTCACTTGATTAATCACATTCCACTAGTGTTTTTCAAGGAAAGACACCGTATGAGATGCTTTTCAGTGAGGTACCATATTTTAGTTCCTTACAGGTATTTGGTAATCTTTATATTACTCGTAACGTCTTGCGTGATAAGGATAAGTTTGGAGAACAGAGTCGACGGTGTGTTTTTTATGGGCTATCCATTTGGTCAAAAAGGTTGGTGTGTATTTGATTTAGAAAAGCATGAATTCTTTGTATCTAGAGATGTGGTGTTTCCTTTTCAAGTGGTATAGCAGCGATTGATCGGCCCCTAAATGGAACAAACCACAGTTGGTCATATTTCTTTTTATTGAGAGATCGACTGATCTTTTGAAACAAACAAAATTGTGGGGTTTTTTCTTCCAGAGACCAGCGGACCGATCGATCTGCCAAATGGACCGATCGATTCCTACCCAACTTCAGAAGTTGTCCCAAATCTAGAGACTAGCGGATCGATCGATCTGCCACAAGGATCGATTGATCCCGACCAAGTTTTAGACGTTGCCTCGAATTCAAAAATAAGTGGACTAATCGATCGGTTTTCATGATCAATCGATCCATATTCTGTTTCAAAGATCATTGAAAATCCGATTCAGAGCGAGAAATAAATCATTAGTTCATCACTCGATTCGATTGATCCACATATATATGGAAGATAAGAAATCTACAGTTGTGAATCAAATTGATGACTTGCGTGAGGTATCTGAAACAGTCGATTGTCTCAATGATATGTTCTTCATACTACACGATGGCAATACAATCCACCCACACTCTCATCTGCTTCCTCCCAATCAGCGTCATCACTTCCATGTACGGTCCTCTATCCTATTGTGAATTATCTATCAGGTGATCAGTTTTCTACTGCACAAAGAGCCTTCTTTACAGTTATGATGACTGTTCTGGTCCGAAAATCATACTCGGAAGCTGTAAAGATAAATGTGGCAAAATGCAATGTCTGCGAGAGGTGACTGCATTTGAAGAAAATGATACATGTGATATTACTGAGCTTCCATCCGGTAAGAAGGAAATTGGAAGTCATTGGATATTTACAGTCAAGTATAAGTCGAATGGGGAGAGGTACAATACCAGATTGGTGATCATGGGTAGTAGACAACTAGAGAGGTTGAAGTTTGATGAGACATTTGCTGCGATCGTGAAGATGACCACCATAAGAGAGTTTCATAAGGTTGCGACTGTAAAAAGATGGGAAGTACATCAGATGGATGTTCATAATATTTTTTTTGCATGGGGATGTCGAGAAAGAGGTTTATATAAGATGACCTCCGAGATTTGTCTCTCAAGATAAATCAAAAGTTTACAAGCTCAAGCAATCCTTATGACTAGCGTCAAGCACGACGATGTTGGTTTTCTAAGCTTGCGACGACACTCAAAGGCTATGGTTTTGTTCAACAAATATCGGATTACTCTCTTTGTACTTTGGTGCGTGGTTCTATGCAACTATATGTGTTCGTATATGTTGATGATTTGTTGATTGGTGGAAATGATCTTCAAGGTATAATGAAGTTGAGATATCTTAGTGCAATGCTTCCATATGAAAGACTTGAGTGTTATGGAATATTTCTTGGGCATCGAAGTTTCTTGGTCTCCTGAGGATTTTTACTTGTCTCAAAGGAAGTATGCTTTGGACATTGTGAACAAATGTGAGTTGTTAGGTAGTCAACCAGTGTCTACTCCTCTTGAACAAAATCATAAGTTAGCAATTGATGATGGTGATTTTTATCAGGATCCCGAGAGGTATATGCGGCTGGTTGGTAGTTGGTTTATCTTACATTTACCAGACCTAAGTGCTAATTCAGATTTACAGTTGATGGTTTATTGTGATTCCATTTTTTTTGCATGTCCTTTATCTCAGAAATCGCTTACATGTTTTGTTGTAATGTTCGGAGACTCTCCAATTGCTTGGAAGACAAAGAAACAAGATGTGGTGTCATTTTTTCCGGGTGGGACTGAATATCGTTCGATGAGTTTTGTCACCCAAACTTTTGGCATGTTTTTGGGTTTCTCATCTGCAGGCTATGCGCTTGTTTTGTGAAAATAAGGCATCCTTACATATTGTTGTAAATCCGGTATTTTATGAAAGGACGTCGAAGCATATTGAAAGGAATTGTCATTTCATTCGTGATGAAATACCGAATGGCGCACTAGTTACTGCACATCTTCGTACCACAGAGCAGCTGTTGGATATATTTACTAATGCATTGGATTCTCAACAGTTTACTTATCTAAGGCACAAAAACATAAATTAGACATTTATGATCTCCATGTTCCAACTTGAGGAAGAATATTATGAATTATATATCAAATTTTATAATATTTAGTTTAATATTTTAATATCTCTTTTATATATACTTTCTCGTTAAGATGGATAAAATTAAAGAAAATTTACCCAGATTGACTCAAAACTTAGCAAAAATAACTAGATTGACTCTCAATTGTAATGGAGAACTAGACTAACTCAAATTTTGTGTAAAAAGACTAATTAACCTCAATCTAGATTTCTCCAACAATTTTTTTTTGCAAAAAATATAAAAAAAAAAAAAAAATGAGTTTAGATTTCGGAAAGAAAAAAAATAAATAAATAAGAACATAAAACCAAACAAAACAAAATCGATTTAGGGTTTAATTGTTTTCTCCCTTTTCACAGACTCGATTTAGGATTTAGGGTTCTCTGTCTCTCTTCTCATTCGTCGATTTTGAGTGGAAACCCTAGCAATCTCTCCTTCAATCCGCCGCTTCTGCAAACTACGGTGAGTATTTCGGCTGTGTTGATTTTGTGTCGATATGCTAGCCTCCGTGGGTAATTGTTTCTGATTTTTTCTCCCTTTTTCTCTCTTCCGGTAGTGACAGAGCTGCGTCTCCGCCCACATAAACGGCGGCGAAGCTGCAGGCTGCAAGGCTTTCTTACTTCATCACGGTTTCTCTTATCTCGCGGTGACGGAAACTCGTCTTCGGTGTCATCGTTTTTTCTTGTTTTCACCGGAGGATTTTCAGACTTTCAAATTCGATTTCTTCATTCAACATTGTCTTATTACCCTAATCGGTGAGAACTTTTCCCATTCAATTTGATTTCAATTTAGATTTCAATTTTGATTAACCCTTGTTTTTTTTGCAGATCGACCACCGTCATCTGAGTACCTATAGTGTTCTTCCAGTTTCCGGTAAGAGTTTACCTAGTTTCGTCGGATTTTTTTTTGTAAAATTATTTCACGCCTTTTCGAATTATATGACCACAGATTTTGTTGAAGTAACTGCAGATTTTTTTCATGATTTTGGCTTTATGCAAATTGCTATTTCCTTTGATCCTCTATTTTGCTGAAGCTGTTAATTTTATTTATCTATGTTTAGGAATGGCATCCTCCAGTAACTTCAAATATCCTCCTCGCCTCTATGACGAAGGAAAATCTATTTTGCAACACCATAGCATGAACCACAACTGTTATTTGTCGAAAATTGGGCTCATTCGAGAAGGATTAGGTGAGGATGTGTGGGACAAATTGAAGGAATCATCTCTTGGTGTATTTATAAAGCTTGCTGAAGCGGAATACACATGGGCTGCAAAGAAGGTTCACTTTATCCTCACAAATCAGCTGCGAGTAAACAACTTGCATGAGATTTGGTCTTTGATTGATGGTAGACCAATCCGATTCTCTTTAAATGAGTTTGCGGATATAACAGGTCTAAACTGTGGTGTTATTGAGCCGTCAGACATTTGCCAAGCTGATCACAGTGAGTTTTGGGAAGCAATGAATGTGGGAACCTCGGACGGTCCTATGTTTACAGAGCTGCAAAAAGTGATGGATCTTAGCAAGGCGTGGGTGGTTGAAAAGAGAATGATGGTTGCTAGGTTGTGCTTATTATCTGTGGCAGTACATGGCATACATCACGGATCAAGAATCCCTTTGTCTAGTGCTAGAAGAGTTCTTGATCCTGTGGGTTTTGAGAAATATCCTTGGGGTCGAGTGGCTTTTGATAGTCTAGTTACCGCAGTGAAGCTTGTTAAATATGACCAAGAGTCCTATGTTATTCACGGATGCGTTCATGCTTTGCTGATTTGGTTTTATGAGAGTGTCCTAGGAATAGGAGAGGATTATGGGATGAGAAGGCCTACATTGACGGGTGTTCCACTACTCGATTGGCAGTCAACTAGGAAAGATATAAAGTTAAAAGAATTCCTCATAAAGGAGAAGACTAAGCATGGTCAGGTTAGTTTTTTTTTTTTTTTTTTTTACATCACTTGTTAAAATAATTTTTGCTTTGTAATTGTTTTGCAAAATTGACAAAATTGTGTCACTTCTTTTATTATTTCATGTTACCACAATTATATAAATGGATTAGTACATAATAAATTGATTAAACATGTTTGTCCTTTTTTCGTGTTTTATGCAGATTCGTGTAAGGCACATGTCAGAGGATAACATGTACCCTAAATGGGGAGATGCGGATGCTGATGCGAATAAGGATCCTTACTAGACAACCTGATTAAAGATATCATCAATAACCAGTTACCTTTGAATGCTTGGGATGGTGTGGGTTCAGTTGCTGTGACAAACAAGAATGTGGCAAAGAAGAAAAGAAAATTAGAGATTGAAGCTGAGGTGGAGAGTAGTATCAAGTGCCAGAAAAACAAAATGAAAGTGGCTGACCATATTGCAGAGGAAGATGAAAAAATCCCAAAAAAGAAGCAGAAGACATAGAAAGAATATGTGGAGGTATATTGGTAACAAATTTCTTTTTAATTTTAATAGTGATGTTAGTAATGAATATTTGTGAATATGCAATTCATTTTAGGACAATGCAGCAGAGAAGAAGAGCATCTTCGATATTTGGAAAATGTTGGAAACAATGAATGGGACAATTTCAGAACTAGACAAGAACATGAGGAATATAATGGATGCTTTGGAGAGCAAATTTGAATCCCTGGTTACTAAGAGACTTAGTGACGTAGATGTGAAGGAGATGAAAGAGTCCAAACCTGAATTTGCTACCTCAAACAACAATGAAGATGATGAGGCAAATAGTAAATCTCCTGTAAGTTATACTTTCACCTCCTCTATCTAAATTCTAGTTGTACTTTTTTGCACTTTTACTAAATTTGTTTTGATTTTAGATGTCTATTATTGACACTATTACTTATTTTAATTTTGCAGTCTTGGGTAGTAGAGGAGAATCCTACTTCACATGATGGTTTGCCTATTCAAAGAGTGGTGAAGAAAGTCTATACAGTGAGAAACAAGAAAAAGAAAGAAGGTGAATTATCTGATGATCTTATCTTATTTGAAAAGAAAGAAGGTACAAAGGCTGAGAGGAAAAATTATCAAAAGGCTGCTTTGAAATTAGAAGCTACAAAGACTGCGGTGAAAGGTTGCTCAAAGCCTGCCCTAGCCGTTGCTGTTACAAAGGCTGCCAAGAAAGGCGGCTCCAAGGCAGTGGTTAAAGAAGTTGCTGCTAAGAACCTGGGTTTCAAGGCATCAAAGATTGGTGGCGAAAAGGCTACTGTGAAAGATGAAGCGGCTAAGAAAGACGGTTCAAAGGCTGCAAACAAATCTGCTACAATGGCTGGGAATAAGATGAAGAAGAAGTCTATTACCCAAGAAGACGATGTCCTAGATGTTACTGACCAAGTGAAAGATGATGCTCTGAAAATGGTTTCAAGTTCTGAAGACACATTCTCGGATCCTGGACAACAACATACTAATAAGGTACTGAATGCAACATTGATAGCAATGGTAGAGAAAATAAAGAATCTAGATGAGGGTATAATTGTGGGAAGAAGAGTGCCACAATTGGCTGGTTCTCAAAAGTACCCGTATGTTGGTAACTCTATAGTGAAGCGCATCATTACGGATGGAGAACCTTCTTCCTCGATACCTGATCATCTTAAACCTGCTTCTGACGAGAAGGTTCATCAACTGTTTGATTTCCTCGAGGAGGATGAAGAGTAAGACATTTTGATATTTAATCTTCCAATATCAAAATGTAACTTTGTCTTTCTAATGACTTTTTTTTTTTTCAGGGACGATCTTATTCAGACTAGTAATCCAGATACGAGATTCTATTGGCAAATTTTGACTTTAAGAGAACAATGGCCACATGAAAAATATGGATGGTTGAAAAATTATGTAAGTCATCTAAGATGATGAAAATCTATTAACATTTTCAGTTTAATCGTTTTAGATTTTTATTGATTCTAACTGGTTTAATTATTATTGTAGCATATGGGTGCTGCGATGGCTATGTTCTGCAAAAGGTTGATGCGTGAGCCTTCAGCGTACCCTAATCAACGAATAACTTTCTTGGACCAATACATGTTGAGGGAGTTGGCTAAAGATTACAAGCACTTTTCAAAAGGACGTAAGTGCTTTAAGTTCAGGGATTTCTTTGCGGAACACCTCAACGGGACAGCTCCAATTGAATCAGCTACTCACAAGAAGTGGTTCATCGATGTTGATCATCTTTATGCTTGCCTCTTTATCAATGGGGATCATTGGGTTGCTCTTGATATTGACTTGCCTATGAAGAGGATTAACATCTACGATAGCATCCCACATTTGACCACTAATCTTGAAATGGCGAAACAATGCATGTTTTTGCGAGAAATGATCCCTGCCATGATGAGTGCTATGGTACCTGAGGAGATACGTAAGAAGAGTAATGCAAGGCTGGAAGTGAAAAGGATTACAAAGAAAGTACCGTTGAATAAAGATCCCGGCGATTGTGCTATCTACACAATCAAATACATCGAGTGTTTGGCTCTTGGGACATCATTTGATGGGCTTTGCAATGAAAACATGAAGGCAATACGTATTAAACTTGCAGCGGAGCTATATGATGAAGTGAGAGAGACAGCCAGACCGTATGAGCTTGATATGTGTCGTGAAAAAGCAAAATCCCTCAACTCGAAGACTCTCAGTAGTTTCTTCTATTTTATTTCATGTCATCTCGGATTTGTAGGTTCTTCTTGTTTCTTTGTTTCTCAGACCTGATTCTACTGCATTTTAAACGTTTAAGTACCTTTGTTTCTCTTTGTTGACGATTAAGTACCTTTGTTTCTCTTTGTTTCATGTATCGACTTTAACTTCATAACATATTATGAAGTAGACCTTAAACACCAAAAAAAACAGAACAGATGGTACTTAGAAGCACACAATAAGTGAATGGCAAAAAAGAAAACTATAATTTGCTGTCTAATTTTGAATGAAATACAAAGGCTGCTAAGAACATAATTGAGTTGAAACAGAAAGAACCAGATCAAACCAACAGAAGAAATCTTTAAGAAAACTTTATGAATTACATGTCTTACGATTATGTCCTACTTGATTGCATTTCCCACAAGTGTGTAGTTTCCTTGGCTTCTTCTTCTCCATAGCAATCTCCAATGCAGATTTATTTCTTGATTTTTTTGGCCTTCCTGGTTGTTAACGAGCTTCTGGAGGCAAACATATCTTGGTAGCCACATGATCAGGAACATGTATAGCAAAATCCCTTGGCATGATGGCGTTTGCATAGGAATTGCACAAGTAGTTTTTTTGATGATAAGCATGACACATTGAAATTCTAGAGACTTTCCTATTTTCACCCGCCGCAATTGCATGAGAACATGGCAATTTCTCCAAATCAAACCTGCGACACATACACTTTTTATCTCTCAAATGAACAACATGGAGAGAAGATCCATGTGTAACTTGAAACTGATGTGCATCTATAGCTTGTACAGTAAGTAACTTAGCGTACTCTACACGGCTCTGTAAAAATAATCAATGGGTATATATCAATTTATGAACAATGAATAGCCTTGCAAGTGTTGAACATGTTTAGAGATTGAACCTGTAGAATTTTCTCTACTCCACTGTGGATGTCGGATTCACACACTCAAGTATTTTTATTAGTAGGAAAGATTATTCTTGAGGGACAAAAAATAAGAACGTAAAAGGCTTATGAATTGCTACAAAAATTGCTATCGTATTTCTTGCTCCAGAGAGAGATCCCTTTACATGGCCATTGGCCTCCATATTTATACATAGAGAAACGACATTAAAAATGAGTAATTAAGTACAATTATTCCTTCTTAAATGTGTCCGTTTTGATTCCTTGATTTTAATGCTCAACGTTTAAATTTGAGTTGACTCTGGTCTTTATGGGCCTCGCCTTTCGGCCCAAATGTCCTTGGACCGACTTAACCATGACCTCGTCTCCGGACTCGTGTCGAGATGCAGTCACTTCGGACCCTCTTTATATTGACAACCACTCCGACCGTTCCTTTGGCTCACGGATCCGACGGGCTTTATCCTTTATGGGTCTTCATCTTGTCTACGTGGCAATATTTGGTTGGTCCAGGACTTCTGGTGCGGGATCCGACACCAACAATTAGCCCCCCAAGTTCTTCGAAGTGTCATTCCAATTCGGAGGACTTTAAATGTTTTAAATGACAAAAGATTGCGCTCGAGAATCTTTCTGATTTCCCGCCGAAAATCTCATTACTCCTTTAATTTCGGCACTAGCCATTTTTACCCGAGTGACATCTGTCATCATTATGACCGTATATTAATTAATTACTATTAAAACGGGAAAAAACCTTCCCACTTCCCACACAACTTCCGAGGCGGTTTCATCATTAGCCTGTGTGAGGTAACTTCTTTTCACCATTACTTTCTTCTTTTACTTTTGTGCTTTAATCAAAACTTCTCTCTACTTTTCTTCACCGAACCTCTCTTCGCCGGATCTTGAATTTTTCATTTTTCTCCGATGACTTCCGATTCTGAAAGACCTGAATCTCCGTCTTATGATGAGAGGCGTTCTAGTAATGACGAATGCACTCGTCCTAACGATATCGCCGGTCCTCATTACAAATCCACCTGTACTCTTCAATCCCTTGAGCGATTAAAGGGGCTTTGTCAAATTCCTCTTGGAATTATAGCGGAGGCGCAAATAGCCGATCCTACGGAATCCTCAGAGAACCACCGTGACGGCTACTTTTGTGTTTACGAAATTTACTTCAAGGGCTGCGGATTGACCTTCCCCCTTCCCGAAGCCCTAGTTCGATTCTTGGCGGCTCTCGAGATTGCTTTACCTCAATTAACCCCCAATCTCCTCCGAACCATCCTCGAGATTATAACCGTTGCGGCGGAGGCTGGCTACGTCATTGGAGTCCCCGAGCTGAATGAACTCCTAAGCGTAAGGAGTTCATCAAAGAAAACTGGGTACTTATCGGCGTATCCAAATGCCAACAGGAACGCCATTTCGCACCTCCCGAAAAAGGATGAAAACTGGCACCATCCTTGGTTCCTGATTAAGAAAACTCCTGCTTCGATTGGGAATCTTTCCGATGTACTCCCATCGAAGTGGTCTACGAAGCCTGGTAGAGACTAGGTCGTATATTCCTTTCCTGTTTATTTTATTATTTTTTACTGACCAAATTAGTTGTTTCACTTCGCAGCTCTTATCGCTTCAACTCTCCCGACTGAAGAATTTGTCAAGTTCTTCAGAACAATCCTCGAAGGGGAAACCCTTTGGAATTCTTTCACCCTCGATCGGTTTATCGAGGCCAACCGAAAACTCAGGATGAGTCCTCCCAATCTACTTCATCGTCTTCCGCCTCCTCCCTCAACTCAGGCCATGTCAGCTCGGGCCCTTACTGCCCAGCGTAAGAAACTTTCCAAGCCGATAGCAGAGGCTTGTGATGAAAACAAGGCGTTCCTCGCGGCCGCCATTGATAAAAAAGATTACAGCAGGACCCTGCTGGTTGATGATAACAGCTCCGAGGGAGCCAGATCCGTTGCTGCTTATAGGCTAACACCTCGTCGCGAATGTCATGACGAACGTTCTCCTCGGAGAGAGCGGTCTCGTCGTGATTCTCCTCGTCCTCCCCGAGACGATTTCAGCAACGAACCACTTAAGAATTTGGTTCGTAGGAAGAGGGACAAGTCGTCCCGTGGTGACTCGTCTCAGCGAAGGGAGAAATCAAGGGCCCGGACTGATCGTTCACCTCGATCATCCCCTCCCACTGAACCAATGGGTCCTCCCCGACCTGTTGACATGTCTTCTTCTTCTCAGCCCGACAGCGAAAAGACTGCTCGGAGTGCATCTCCTAAAAAGGGAGATTCTGAATCTCGAGATGCTTCCTCGAGGTTAAAGCCCGTTCTTGTCCCTCAAGTCAAATCGCTTTCAGGTTTGGTGATTTACACATACTCTAACGTTTTTGTTTCTATTAATATTCCAATTTTTACAATTCTTCCTTCTTCGCAGCTATGGAGAAAGAAGGCAGCGTCTTCCGATGCTTCAAGACCCGATCGGGTTCGATCTTGCCAGACTTCGACAAGTGGCGCCCTACGATTCGTGAACGCTATTTGCTTCACGCGTATCACTCATCTCGGGTTAGTTCCGTTTTTTTTTATTATATTGCCATTCTGCGAACTGACTCGCCATCCCGGGTTTATGTATAATGCCAGGCTCATAGTGAACTTAACGACATGATCGAACATTACGAAGGGTTGGTCATTGGACGGGAGAAGGAGATTGACATGTGGAAGAAAAAACTCTCTGCCCTTGAGGCTGAACTCAGTTCTTCTGCCAGCTCCAAGCACGATCTGGAGGACAAGGTCGACAGTTTAACATCCGAGCTTGCGTAGATAAAGGGGGAGCTGCAAGACCAGTACGATCGGAATTACAAACTCCAGGATGAACTTTCTGGTGTTCAAGGTAGACTTCATGAATCCGAATCAACCGCCGATACCCTGAACAACCAACTTATCGAGCTTGACGCGAAGTACAAGGTGCTAGCCAAGTTGCGTGATTCCGAGTTGGCAAGGTCGGCATCGAAAGCCAGAAAGGAGGTTAAGGGACGCGGGATGGAGTTGATCCAAGGGGCCATCCGCTTCATGCAGACCGAGAAGGGTAGGTCAGACTTGGAATTAGACATCAAGGAGCATGAGAGCAACCTAATTCTGTTGGATCAAATCCACGAAACAGATTTCTCCGAGGAGCAAGAAAGGACCGAACTGTCAACAAATCTTTCTGAAAAACAGAGTCGCTTGGCAGCTCTTCCCACTTTGACCTTCAACCCGCTTGACTTCGAGGAATTCTTTACTGAATCGCCTTCTATAAGTGAATCGGGTTTAGACTGGGCAGGTAACGCTTGGCTCCTGACGCTTACCTCCCTTTTCTTACCTTATGTTTTTTTTTTTAAATTAACTGGAGCCGTCCTTCCCAGGCTCAAGTGAGACGGAAGATGTCGTCCCACCCGAAATTCTGTGAGACCGGAGGTCATCCCGGAGGATGGTTGTACTGTGGAGAGCGGACCAGAAGTTTCATCTGACCAAGCACCTGCCAAGGAGGCGAATGAAGCTTCGACTGTTGAGCCGGATTCCGAGGGGGCTGTTGCTCCGTAGTGGCTGTGTCCACTTTAAATTGGGAATTGTCCCATTAATTTTAAGACTTAATTTCGAACTTGTTTTTGTCTAAGGAGGCTTTATTATTTTTTGAACAAGATATTTGCCTGAGGAGGCTTTTAAACCTTTCTAGGTTATGACCCCAAGGGGGTTTGGTTAAAATTATATGCGGGTTTGCAAAGTCCGCTTTTAACCTTTTGTGGCCTTATGGTTATGCTTTCGAGATTTTTAGGCTGATCAGGCCTTTCTCTTTAGAATGCGAGAACTGAGCTCGGCTTAAAGCGAGTTCCCCACTTCGGGTTTAGTCAACTCGATAAATTTATTGGGCTTGGGCCTCAGAAACTTTTGTAGTTAATGCGACGGTTGCTCTTTCTTTTCTTTTTTCTTAAAAGTAGGGAAACGGCTCGTCTTTAATGCAATAACTGCCTTTTCTCGATTTTCCAAAAAGGGGTTAAACCATTCGGGCACACTATTATTATTGGATTTATGGTTCCAAGACAAACCCTAAATCATTATAAATAAAGCTTACCTACATCTGAGCTTTATTTAACTACGTTTTTAGAATCTTACTTGAGTAATATTACGAGAATGGAAAACGA